TCTTTTTCTCTACTGGTCCATTTTTGGGGTTACTTCTGTGCATTTAGCATTGCATGAGGTTTCTGCAATGCTATATTCTATATCTTTGGTTGCTCTTTTGTTTTATTCTGTGACATTGCCACCTTTATTCATATTTCATGTCTAGCACCTTCTGGTCCTTTACATGTAAAATCTATTTGTTTCTCTATTCTTTGGGTATGCTCGATGCTGATTGGAGTTCTGGATTGATCAGTCCCACCTCAATTACTTCTTGGTTCTTCCTCATTTTAATATATAGTCTTTAATCATAATTGAGTGGGCAATTTCTGCAGGACTGAGAATGTCCATGGTACACGTTCATGTTTTTCATTTCTCGGGATGCTATCTTAGGTTTTTTCACCAAGTAATTTTGTATCTGTTTCATCCCTTGCTCTTTAGACTTCTTTTGGTTCCTTGTGTCTTTTGTCAAGTGGTCTACAATTTACCTGACTTCCAAATTTGGGTATATTTCTAACATCACTACTTGGTTGTCTGTCTTCGTCTAGCTCCTGCTGAAAGGGGTGGTCTTAACATACTCATCTGCTTTTTACACAAGCAGCTCAGGTGGTTGGATATTCCTGTTACCTACCTAACAATCTCGTCTATTTCGGGAGTGTCTTTTTAAACACCCACATACATTGGGACCATCCATTCTCTACCTTGATTGCATTTGTTGGAGCTTTCTGTTATCCACACCTTTATGGTTAACTATCTTACTGCTAGTGAGATTCTAATGCAATGGGAGATATGACTTCTATAGAAGCACTTCTCCCTTTGGGTCTGACGCATTTGCAATCTTTTCAGGAGACACTGCACAACCCACTGTAAAGTTCCTTTGGATTCTTCTCTTAACTTTCCTCCTTCCCTTTTCAACTATGTGCATTGGTAGTTTAACATATCCCCCATGTTGTTGGGTTTACCACTTCCTCCCCCTCATCTGGATTTATTTCTCTATCCTGATGCTCTTCTCCAAAGTTGGGGGCATGGGTCAATCTGTAGGAGGCTTCGGGACAATGGTCTATCAACTAAAGGTCTTACGATGTTAATGTCCTGGCACTTCCACCAGTCCAGTGTGCTTTAGTTCACTTTGTTCCTTTTGTACAGATTTGACTAATCATGCTTCATTCTGACTATCCAACAGTGATGACTTATTTCACTTGCCAAATGGGCACTCATTATTGTTCCCTTTTTGTTAGACAGTGGATCTCCCTTTTTGAACTCACACATTTGACATACATCTTGTATGTTATGTTCCAGGTGATTTCATCCTTATTGCAGATTGCCTTTCCAATACCGACACACTTTCTCCCAAGGAGTGGCCTCGTGATCTTCAAATGTTTGGTGGCTGTGCCTTCTGTGGGGTACTCCTCTACAAGAAGCATTTGACTTCTTTATCTGTTCCTAGTTCCTTCTTTTGTTTTTGGTCTCCAGTTTATCATCCACTTGCTCTCACTGTTGATACATTCAGACTAGATTAAATTCAGTTTATAAGTTTAGTTTTCTCATTCTATTAGTTTTCCTCCCAAGGTGATTTTGATCCAGGCTAGCAAAGATCTGGTTTTCTTGGATGTTTTGGCTCGTTTTGTTCTGGATTGATTTTACTAACCTACACTTTGGGAGCTCATGTGGAATATTCTTTCATAATTTTCATTTCTTGCCATCTAGATCTGGGTGACCTCATCTGTTCCATACATACTCTGGTTGCATCATTGTTTTCAAGCCATTTTTCCAAGAACTCCATTTCCCACAGTTTCATTCCCCTGTACCAATTCTCTATTCATGATTTTTTCCCTTCCTCCCTTACCTATTGCATTTGGCTTGTGATTTGATTGGCTTTGTATATCTTGTCTCCTTCTTCCTGTAATCAGTTCCTTGTGTCTCCACTCGATGAGGCACCTTACCTTTTACCTACATCTCAACCCCATCATCTATTGGAGGTACTTCTTCTGTTGAGAATCGGGACTACACCTCAGATGTTAATCTCCCATTATCTGCTTTGGGTAGCTGTTTCTTCCACCTGTTGCCATCCTTCACTCTTTGGTGAGAGTAACTGGGTAAGTTCCCATGTTTTGACCAAGATCCCACTCTGTTGTGAGTGGTGGCTGTCCAGGTATACTTCAATCACTTAGAATTGTACTAAAATCCACACACTGTAAGGCCATGTTGACTTCATTTTCATGGCCACAAAATGTACACTCTTTGTTACAATCACATAAACTACAGATGGGATGTTCCACAAGATTGCTTGTAGATTGCCCATTCCAGATCATACTAACCCATGCCCTTCATGAGTGAAACGGAAATGGATTGCTGCTTATCCCTGCCATTTCTTAGATTGAATAGATTGAGTTTGGTCTGCTTTTCAAAATAGGGTTTTGTGATTACCCATTACACTGTCTCCAGTATGAACATTCCTCTGGACTTTCCACCAAGTTTTTCTTCTCCATTTCTTCCAGTGGAGTATGAGAATCCTTACCACTTGTCATTTCCAAGCCGCTGGGGTGGTGACTATGGAGGTATCCTCCTGAATGAGAGATATACAATATAAACAATAAAGACTCCATTGAGTTGATAGTAGGGTGGTTGTGTTCTGCTGGTATAGATGACAAGATGTCCACCAAACAGATGCTCCGTTTCTGCACAGGTTTGTCCATTGGGATGTTGCAGCTTTGGAGTGCACCATAATAATGATTGAGATCCCTGCATGGATGTAGATTCCTGGTGGTTGGGTTTTGGATTTAGAGCTGAACCAATTGACATGATGTACTCACACATGCAGTGTGCTGGCATAATCACCCATTCAATTGGGATCCCTTCATCCTACCCCTGCTTGGATGCTGGTTCCTAGCTGTTGAGTTTTGGATTTAGAGCTAAACCAATCAACATAAGTCCTCATGCATGTGATCAGGGTGTCCCTGGTTCCTCACTCAATTTGCATTGAGTGCACTACCTCAATGTTGTGGCTCTGCTTCTTTCTCTTGTTGTGCCTCTTGATGTCTTTATGCTGAGGATATTACTGTATTTGAGGTGGGTCTGGTTTGAGTGGGATATATATGTATTTCATTCTACTCATACGAGCCATCGTTTGTACCACATTGTAAAAATCTGGATCTTGTCTCTCCCCGTAGACACCCAATGTCAGGTCTGGTTATTATTTGGAAGGGTAACCGTCTGTGAATACCAGGTGATGATGGCACTATTATTTCGCCCCCCCCCCAGCAGCATAGCAGTATGTCTGTGGATTTATACTGCTAACAACTGGGTTTTGATACCTGTGGTGGGCAGAGAACAGATAGCTCTTTGTGTAGCTTTATGCTTAATAACAAACAAAAACAGCTGCTCATATGGTATGGTCCTCTTTCTACCCCTGCATGGATGTCGGTTCCCAGTGGTTGAATTTTGAATTGTAGTTGACTTACTGAGAGTAGAATTCTTGTCTTACCTCTACATGGATGTTAGTTTCCAGTGGTAGATTTTTGCATGGTAAAAGGGATAAAATTGGAAATCGAAACATTATATTATCAGCTGAAATTTAACAAACTACCTTTCATGTAGTGACACCAGTGCTCCTATCCTGAAGGTTTTATAAGTAACTAGGCTGTTTGATTAGAACAGGATGGTTTAACTAATGTAATTAACAACCAATGAGCAACAGTTATGTCAATTTGGATTATGTAAACTAATAAATGAATCAAAATTATGATTAAATCAAATAATTGAAATTAGTAATCTTTCACTAATAAAGAACAAATCTTTAAGATGGTTTTGTTGTCATGGGAGACTTCAACAGTAGAGTAGGAAACCACAGAAAACACTAGGGAGACATAATTGAGTCCTCACAATGACATCAAGGCAGAACATAACTACATCAGGCAGCTACACTCATAAATTTGTGCTGTTTCTGGGCAGTTTAACACCTTCAAACTCAGATCAACACACAGTACAACTGGAACAATTTTGACTAAACACAACAGATTGAACACACTGTAACCAGGCTTACATGTTGACAATTTGTTGCTGAAGTCCAACATACATACTAACATTGACTACAGAAGAAAGCAGTGTCCACAGAAAAAAAGTAATATGAAGAAATTGAAAGAAAAAATTACAGTTATTAAATCTCAGACAACTTCATCTCCAGAGAGGAAGCATTGAAGAAGAAGAGCAGAATGAGGAAATATAATATAGGGAAAAAAGAAAGGAACGGTATGGTGGAATTACGTAGTAAAAGAAGCTGTTAAGATGAAGACAAAGAACTGATGAGTGAAGCAAAGCAAAAACAGAAGAACACTATATAAAATGTGGGCTAGCATGAAAGGAATGCAAGAGAATTTTCAAGGCAACCAAAGATACATCTTAGCAGCAGTAGGAAAATAACTAGCTCAGAAATGTAAAGACTTGTCACAAGAATTCTTCAAGAGTGTTAAAGTAAGGAAACCAACAAATGACTTTCAATTCCACTAATCATTATCATTTGCCAGAACCGGGCTCTCTTATTGGTGGTGAAGATATTAAGAAGTGAGGAGAAAAATATTTCCAGGAACTGTGTTAGATATACACAACTGTTTCAATTTAATGCAAGCATTATGAATTAGATAACTTATATAGTGTAGGTGTCATATTTAATTATTTTTAGAAGCAATAGTTTATGGTAAGTTTGTTTACATAACTGTTTATAAATCATACATTGTATAGTTTAATTGTTATGAATTAGCATTTGTTTACAATAGTGAGATTATTGCATTATGTTGCTAGAATTTTCTGAATTTCTTGGTTTAATTGAGTATTATTGCATCAGAATATCTAGTATTGTATGGTGTGTTCTAGACTTTTGTAGGGGTATAAATATGTATTGAAAAATCATTATGTAGTTCTAGACTGTGTGATTGTAAGTTTAGTGATAAAATTGTATAGTATATTTAAATGTGTATTAATAATCATTAACTTTCAGTAGTGGTAACTTACACTTTCTGTGTGGATAGTTTTGTGGAGATACCATTGCTGGCCTATGCTTACTGTCAGATGCTGTCATGAAGTTAGTAGAAGAAGACCACATTGAAAACTGGGTGAATGTTCTGCTGAAAAGGAGGTCTTTGTATGTAATGAAGTAAGTACTTATATACATGTTCTGTTCCTGGTTAGTGATGATATAATGTGTTTTTACTGACCTGATATTCACAATTGAAAGTCAAGATATTATTTCACTCTGAATACAGTGTAACTGCACAGTAGTCAATTACTTGTATACATTACAACTCTAAAACATTACCAAAGCTGATGTTTGTTTTTATACGTGAGTGAAGTGTCCTGTAGTTATTATATTTTCTTAGGGCCTTTGTCCTGACCATGTTCCTAATTTTCAATTTTTAAAAACATTCTTAATTCCAATTGTGGATTTTCTTAATTTCAAAAGAAATTTTATTTCATTTTAATGAGATTGTTATCTTATATTATTTCCTTTGTTAGATCACTCTTGTTTACTTTAAATAAAATACTCAAAAGTTAAAAGTTCGTGCAGTGTCACGTGACCTGAGACAGAAGTTAAGCAGTCCTTTTAACAAAACACCGGTATTGTTACTTCTAGCTGCATGTCATTAATCACGTGTGTTAAGACATATTACTTATGCTTTTGTTTTATTATTGTTTTATAAAATGATCAACATATTCTTGTATTTCTGACCAAAGAATATTGACATATCAAGAACACCATAATAACAGAACTTACAAATTTTACTAAACTTTTTTGATGTAGAGCATAACTGCATCAAATAAAATACAATGTTTTAGTAATTTTACTAATGTTACTGTTTATTTCTAATATAAAATTTAAAGCATCACTCGCATTCATAATAACAATTTCAATATTATTTGAAATACATTAAGGAAATTTACTTTTTTAATCTTATAGTTTGATTAATTTTTTAATACATGATCTAACTAATATATACATTTTATACTCAAAAGCATTTAAAACTATTTCTTGTCAATGGGTGAAAAAACTCAAAATATATTCAAACCATGGTTTTATGTATTACTGTATTACATTTACTGTTTGCATCTCGGAATTATATGAATCAAACCTCCATTAAAATTGTCCATTAGGTTCAGTTACCTTTAATATCCAACTTATGTTTGAAAAACAAAAAATAAAACAGTTTGATATTTGAGATAATAAATTGTTGATAATTTTGATTGATGTTTTATGTATTAATATACTTTCACATTACTATCAACTTCAAAAACAGCACAATATTTAATTGGAATTATTTTATTGCTAGATACTGGGAAGTTAAAATACAAATACATCTCTTTCATTAATATGCTTTGTCATCAATAACTTTGTGCATTAATATGCACTCTAGCCACTTTATTAGAACCCACATGTGATAATTTGAATCCTAGAAATGGAATGACATAGTCATATCATGTAGAGTTTACATATATCATAAAGTCATGGAATTTAGTAAACAACTTTTTCAGTACAGGAAGCCCCAGAAAATCATTGGTTTTTAGCAGTAGGTCCTGGAAACGTCCTTAAAGTCTAATTCCATCACACCCATATCCCCCATTTTTATTGACCACAAGTCATATAACTGTGTTTATCTCAGTTTTATAAAACTGATCTCTAGAAAATATAACTCATAAAGTAGGAAATATTATTACTTGGCTGTGCTTATCAGATTGTGATCTATATTCATACAGCTGCAAGTAAGTGGGTATCATGTAATTATTCTTGGAATGTTGTTGTTTGTGTAAAATAGCTTCAAGACTTGTGTATTTTCTTATATGAAAAAACACAATTCATCCACAAACTTCAACATTTTAATTTAGGGCTCATATTTTCAGTTTTTATGTAATTTCTCTCCTCGCAAAAGTCCATGTTCAAGAAGCTTGTGATATTGCTCTTTCCAAAATTCAAAATGATTCTTGCCTAGAACTTTTTCCTTTGTATTATCCTTGTTAAATTGTTGAAAGTTGTTATAAAAATGACAAATTTTAATTTTACACACTAAACGATAATTGTATCAATGGCATAGCCATGGGTAACCCATTTTTTTCTATGCTTTGTAATTTATGAATTATTTCAATTGAACAACATTCTTTAAACACTGCACTCTTTTCTATTTTGTAGATTGTTGACATACTGCAGGTTTTTCAGTCCATAATAAGCCCAGCTTTTTATAGAAACACTTAACAAACAACACCCTTTTATAAGATTTGTCATAGAACAAGAAATACTTAAAACTATAATTTCTCAACATTCTTATACATAGATCAGAGCAAGGCTTCTCCTTGAGGTTGATCACAAAGCCACATAGGCTGATCTCTACATACCTTGCAATTTCACTCACCCCACCTATCGAAAAACAAGCCTTTTTAAAAACTTAATTTCTTATACTACAACTGTTTTAATCCCAAGACATTCTAAATTGAGAAATTCAGAGTCTAACATCCTATTTTTTCACATCAACAAATTTTCTAAAACTCGCTAAAAACACAATTTTCAGAAATGCTACTTATCTCTCTGCACCACTAAGAGCTATTACCTCGTGTGCAACTGTTGTGGTATTTCCTGTACATGCTACAAGCCTTGAAAAAACTCCTACATCTAAATTTGTCTGTTTATTATGCCAGCTTATAATATTACCATCATAATGCTGTATCCCTCCATCAATTAGAGGGTAACACAACCTCCATGTGAGTAATCCCCGTGAACATTAACATATGATCATAGGCTCATTCTTTAAGAGGCAAATAAAATGCACTGGAACTGGAGAGGAAGGGTGGAAAAGTGGTGCAGAGTAGTAAGTTTCTATCTAAAATACATTTTCGGGTAAGGAAAATATCTTCAGAAATGTTACTTGCTTCTCTACACCACTAAGAGCTAAAATCCTGAATTGAAAATGATGGAGGGACTGGTGCTGATCAATTATATTATTGTAAAAACAGGTGGAGGGAGAAGGAGCTCTCAGCTACATCCCAAAGCAAATCCAAGTCCCATCTGGCTGGACATAACCAATGGGAACTGCTTATGAGATATTGTAATGGGGTGTCCTGTACTACATCTTAATCAAGGAGATAGCCCAATTAGTCTGTTACTGGGGGTTAGATGCCACTCACAGAGGAAACTTTCCATGTCAAAATCTCCAATGGTTTGGCTTTGGGGAAGTAAGGATTTTCCCATGTTCCATTAAAAGAACAGGGGGGAGGAGTGCTTGTGGACCACTGTCTTCGGTCACAATGATCTGGAATTAAGTACCCTCTGAGAGACAGTGTAATGTCTTACTACAACTAAAGGCAGCAAACATGAGCCAGGTTTAAGGGTAGGACTATATCTGGTGCTGTTTGATTTTTGTAAAAGGGGCAGAAACAGCCATGTCAGTTATAGAGATATACTGCCAAAGCAGTCTTGCAGAAAACCCCATCTCAGCAGTGGGCACTGACTAGGGGTGGATGGGTTTAACGCTTTCCATTTTCCCCCAGATTTGGGGTAAGTATTCCTAGTGAGGTTGTGCTGACCATTCAGCAAGTTCTGATGGCACTAATTATAAGGAATATGTGGATGTAGTTTCTCACGTTACATTTGATCTTGGAGAGTCTTGCCTCTTCCTGTTTGGTGTGTGTTTTTTGTTGTTGTTGAAGAAGTTGTGATGCATTGGACTATGTACAGAAATCATGGTACACACACACAGAGGTGCCATGAAATGTATGAATGACATTGAAATGACTAAAAAACACACCAGACAAAATTCACCATGCTAGAGCTTCTGGGTAGAATGTAAAATGGTGATTGAAGGGAGGGAAAATTCAGAGGCACATGAAACTGTCAGTGATGTAAGTAGTGGTAAATGAATGTGTCAGGTATAGTCCACATACCAGCCTGTAAAACATTATTCAAAGACCAGTGACAAAAAAAGAAGTTAGGGATGCTGTGATATGCAGAATCTAGTTGGAGGAAACACAAAAGAGTGCATGGCACAGTCAGACTCATCCAAACAAAATATGTGAGGTGAATGAGGTGGCAAACCCATCCAGTTAAAAGTGGAATGGGACAATTCCCAAGTGGGTTAGGTCTACCATGTAAAATAGGCAATGGTAGTTTCCACAAAAAGGGAAAGTCAGAGTAAGATAGCAGTAGGTAGCCTGTACTGTACATAAAAGATAATTGAGATTGAAACAATCATATACTAAGGAAATAGAGAAGTGGGAGAAAATATCCAATCACCCTCCTGAGCAGCTCATGTTTTTAAAGGAAAGAGCAATTTAGAAATAGCATCAATTAGTCCTGATGACAGAGAGTACAAGAGGTATCCAATATGTAAATGTCTGAAAGACAATTGCCACAAGTAAAGAAAATAAGAAAATATGTGTTAAGAGACAAGTGATACAAGCAGCAGGAGGTCAAAGGCTCAAAGGGGTGTGGGTGTAAGAGTCTGAAGAACCACATAAATGTCCCAATCAGGAAGGGGGACTGGACAAGGGGGGAGATTAATAAAGAAGGCTGTAAAGTGGTCTGTGAGAACAGGCAAAAGGAAGGAATTATCTCCTCTAAAGAGGTGGAAAGTTGTGGCCAATGCTGCTCAGTAATCAAGTCAGGCAGTGTTGAAATGCCAGGTAAAAAAGGAGGTAAGAGAACCCAAACAAATAGAGCATTGGAGACACCAGTAACTGTGGACAGCACATTTACATTGATAGAGGGAAGAAGTAGAAGGCCCATAAGAATGTGAGAGAAAATTGCCTACTCTGTAGGAAAATCCCATATCTCTCACTAGAGAATGGACAAATCCCATACATGAAGATGTAAGTGTGACAATCTGTCATGAAAAATGGATGATAGATTGACAGGGGAGGAACCTCTAAAGACAGAGAGGTTCCCTGGTTGACAAGTGAAGTAGAAGGAGGAGCAACCAGAAAATCTTGGTAAGCTGTCTCAAATAATAGAGGGTACTTGAGGAAGAAGATGAAGAAAAGGGTAGTTATAAAAGAGAAGATTGAACTAATCCTGGCTCAGACCATTGATAGCCAGAGTGTTTGAGTGCAGGATGAGCAACAAAAAAGAAGGGAAGTTTGGAATTGAAGGGAGTCATAAATGTATTGACCTGACAGGGTCTAAAATGGGAACAAATCCAACAGAAAAACAAAAGATTCAAAGATCACTCTATGAGATAGATTTTGTTCAGACAAGACAAGCAATCCACTACCAGAAGGAAGTTCAGAGTGAGAAAGCACAAGTCCCAAGAGTGGGTGCCTCCTTGGTTTGTGTAAGAAACAATCGTAGAGCTGTTTGAGTGGATCATTACAAGATGATTGGACAGCCATGATTGAAGAGTTGACAAGCTGCAGTCACCTCTGGAATGTTGATGTGTAGCAAACACATTTCCTGCAACCAGAACATAAAGGAGTGATTGCATCGAATACTTCCTCCAACTGGAAAGAGAGGCATAGGTGTAAAGATGCAATTCAGGTCAAGGAAGGTGATATACTATGGGTCATGTTGGAGTTATCAAGCCACCACAATAGAGAAGAGGAAGGTAGAGACACGAGGGCATATCCCTCAAAGTACATTGTATGTGATGCATGTGTGCACAACTGAGAGGGATCAGGGCTTCTATGGAAGCAAGAGTCTCCAAAACAAAGAGAACCTCTCGTGAAGGAAAAAATCAGAGAGAAGTACTCTGCAAAACAAAGTTTCAAGGTGCAAGTGAAAAACCCAAAATTAATGAGAAGGTCAAGTTTACTTTTATTCCTGGAGCAAGACTAGGCAAATAAGTTCCAAGACAACCATATTAGTAATGTTGTTTATGAATAAAAATACTAAGACTGAATATCATGCTGCATAGATAAAATAGGGGAACTCACTACTTGCATAAACAACTGCAATCATGCACCTTCTCACATTTTTTAACATAAACATTCATTTCACAAAATCTTTAAGAAAAATAACTGCAAAAGAAAATTCAAGGAAACCTTATTAATAAAAAATAAAAATAATTATATGTAAACAAATATCATGGTTCCCCACTATATTTGTTCACCAATGCTATTTTAGCTACTATATGATTGGTTCACTTAAACATTCAAATTTTCAAATATGATTCTCCTACACTTATTCGTAAACTGTACTTGATGATAACAAGTAAAGTTGTTAAAACGTCAGTGTTTCCCGACCTTTTCCAGTCCAAGGTACATTTAATAAAAATGTTGTGTGGCACCCTTCACCCTCCCACAGAATTTTATGAAAACTCAGTTCAACACATGACTCTAACTAGTACATGAACTTTAAAGACATTAGAGCACTGTGTGATGTCATCTCATGGCTGACACTGGTAGAGCAACAAGACAGAATACACTTTGGTACTGTACACAGTGCTAAGTTATATAAATGATGCATTTAATTTCTTCATTTTTCTCAAGTATGACTTTTCCAAAATTCCACAGTATACTTGTTCGTGACTCAAAGCACACAGTTAGAAAACACTGGTATAGATGTTTAATTTCCATAAAATTCCAGATTCCAGTAGAGTACAACCCCATTATGATTGCAAGTTGCTTCTAAGATTTTTCAAAGTTTTAAGGCTATGTGTTTGATCTTTTCAACTCAAAATGTGTTGGATATTGAAGGTATTTTGTACATATTTTTTGTACTTGTAAGTAGGACATAGTTTTGGGTCTGAGGTTTCTGTGAGACTGAGAAGAGTTGATTGATGATTGTTTTGAAAACATAAATTAAAATTCCTAGCACAAAGAATAATTTTCTATGCCAAATTTCAAGTCAGTATTCTGAGTGTTGTTTTACTTTTGTATGTCATCTACATATTGATCAGTGGGATTATTTAATCTTCCTTTCAAAGATAGGCAAAAAAACAAAACATGAAACAATATTCATACTTCATAGAGCCAAAATATGGCTACTTATCTAAGTCTTAAGGAAAGGTCTTAAGTAGTCAGTTTCTCAAAGAATTGTTCTTTAACTATAAATTGATTTTATACATGAGAGGTTTGTGCTATTTTAGAAGTAACTTAAATCTATTTCATCTTTGATCTTATCAGAAAATGAGATTTAAAAGAAAAAATAAGTATATTTTGTATAAAAAGTTAAAATGTGTTTTAATGTTCTTGAGAAAGTACTGTATGATATCAAATTTGCAATAAGCTTGCATGTAAAAATAGCATTCCTACAAACTGTATCATTAAAGTTCTTACATAAAGGCAAAATAAAATGGTGCTCCAGTCTGTCTTTAATATGAATTAGTTTAATTTTCTGGTTTGTAAAGGATGTATAGATATATACAAGGCAACTAATATACATATTTACATGTATTTTTCAGAAATGTTGCTAGGTATAAATATACCCATGAAGTTTTGAGAAAAAAAGAGTCAGTGTTCAAAGGAAAAGTTATTCATCGACACAGAAGAATTTCTGTTATCTTAAGAAATGAGCCTTCAGGAGAATCTACTACATAATGTTTTGTTTTGTTTGTTAAGCTAAAAGTAGGATTTATTGCAAACTTTTAACTTGTCATAGATTAAAATCTGGTACCTGAAGTGTTAACTGCAGTGGAAACCATGGTTCTGCTATTTTTTTTAAACTGGAGTTTTCTGTAGTCCTTGTTGATAGAGTTTGTGCTAATTGTAAGGAAAAAATACAAAAATACTTGTTATTATGATGTGGTAGCTATTAAATAAGTGAGAATTATGTTACATAAATATTTTGTCTCCCTTTTATTTAGTTATTGGATTTCATATTTACTTGTATACATGATACAGCATCAGTGACAAGATCACCATTAAAGAAAAGATTTCTCTGATCATTACTTGTATGGCTTATCAGTAACCATTAGCTATTTTTTAATACTAGGTATAAATACAACTTTTTAGTGTAAATATAATTATATTTTCTTTAAAGAAAGTACTTATCTGTAAGTATGTGGCTGCTGTGTAGAAATATAGTTTGTATACAAAGTTCAGCTGAATTACTGCACAGTTTATTGAGATTCAATAAAATTAGAATCCTGACCTGTCTCTATCATTACTGTGTTACACATCATTAATGAGTTTTACGTAAGTCATGATTTATAGTAAAACAGTGTTGGCTTATTAATAGTCATTAGTTAAGAATTATGAGAAAATATGAGAATAAAAATTTACTTATTTATAAGTGATATACATTTCTATTAAATATTAGTTATTGTGGGAATGTCCTGACCAGTGTTTGATTGTTAACCAGAAATTCAGTTTATTTGCATACCTACTCATGAAGGGTGAGCTGAATTAACATAAATTTTAATATTTGTTTCCTCTTTAACCTTTATCTGGTTTTTTTAACAAGATTTGTTTTAACATCATCTTGAATATGTATTTGAAGAGTAATTGTGAAAATCATCAATGAATATCAAACTCACTGAGAAAATATTAAATATATGTCAGAAATGAATGGTTCTTCAACTTTTTGTATTCAAGATGTTCCTCCTCCTTCAAACATAGTCTTCAGATTTTTATATAAGGAGAAATATCCTGGATGTCACTGCCTTTGTTCTGATGACATCATTGATCCTTGTGCAATTGTTGTATTCTCTTGAAACTCTGTCCCATTTCCAAATATTGACATAACACGTGGATAAACCATCGAGGCTTTATTTCTTTGAAAGTAACAACTACCCTATTTATAACTATAGAGTATAGTCAACTTGTTTATTTCACTTGACCTAATTCAATTAGTATATGTTCATTATTTAAAAAAAAGATAATTTTATAAGCTTTTCAAACTTTACCTTTCAAAATATTGCATTTATTAATGATTCTACTTTCATGCATATTTATTACTTAATTAAATTCTATAATCTAATTCTCATTTCATTCCTTTCTCCTTTTCAGAAAATTTTTTATTTAAAAATTTGAAATGAAATCATATTTTACAGTCAGCATTTAACCAGTTATTATAAATCCATATAACATCTTCCATTTATGAAATCTTATAAGATACTATCAGTATCATGTATATATATATCTCAAACATTAATCAGTATTGACAATATTCAAACAATAATTAATCCAACATAATCAGTAATACTAAAATCAGCAGAAAAAATGGTACCCAATTCAACTTAAAGAATGGAGGATTCCTCCTGACTGGGAAAAGTTTTCATTGTCTCTGGATGAACATTATGTAGTTGCTCATAACTGAGCCTAAATATTTTTTGTGATATATGTACTGTTATGAATTATCTTTCTTTGTCAGTTAGTTAATCTAAATCAGTTTTTAGTTTTCCTCTAACAAAGGAAGCTATTTCCTATTTTCTGTTGCTAAATCATACAGACCAATTATCCCAGTAACATCCAAATAAGTTGGAACTGCTCTTTACTCACTCATTGGTAACTTCCAATTCATCAATATTGGAAGTTTTTGTTTAAAGTAGAGTAACAATACATGTATAAATATATGACTGCTACTACTTGTACAAAGTACAAGATTCCTAGAATTAAATTCACAGTTTTTTATGTGTTGTCCATTTCTCTTTTTGCACTGTTTCTAAATCTTTTAAGTATTGTTTAAATGCAGTGATTGTTAACCTGAGCATCTAATGGAGCAAGTCTTGTTTTTCTGGCTTTTTTTATCAAATCATTTATTTTCATTTGTTAAAATACTTTGTAGCTGTGTGACCTTGAGATTTATCTGATTGTTTATATATTGCATTGTACTATGAAAGTTTGACAGTGAACTAAAATTTTGACCATGTGCTGAGTAATTTTTATGTGAATGAATATAACCCATGTCTTTAGTTTTTATATCTCTTATAATTATTTTGTTAAGTCATGTTTAGGACAAACTACTCAGTTTGTTCTTGACATTGAACAACAATATATTTGAAGTCCTTGTTCTAAGAAAATAAAAAGGGTGAGATATTATCATGCATTTTTTGCATAATTCTGATATTTCATTTTTTAATCTGGCAAATAACATGTAAGTACTAGTTAATGTTAGAACTGAAAGTACTCTTGTATTAATTGTGAAATTGGTCTTTTCAATAAAATTTGCTGTTTTAAAGGTAATTTCAGTAATGATCCTTAAAGTTTCTTCTACTGTGATAATTTGAACACCTGTCCAAGTATAATACATAAATATTTGTTCACCGTGTGTCAGAATGATGAACTACAAATGTGCAGTTGAATCTACAATCTATATTGTAGATTGTATTTGATTCACTGTTTCAATGATACAAAGTAAGGAATTACTCCCTACCTGCAATGACACTTAATACCTGTACTGCTCTATTAAATTATGTTTTGTATTTTGCTATAGTAAAAATAATCTTTTTTGATGACGGGGAACCCACTTTGAGACTAATAATGGTTGGAGACTGCTTGAATGGGTAATGAAGAAAAACTTTAATACAAGTTTAACATAACAGCAACTGATGCCTGATGATGACAAAACCTTGTCGAAACATTGTACATTTGCTGTTATGTTAAACTTGTATTAAAGTTTTTCTTCATTACCCATTCAAGCAGTCTCCAACCATTATTAGTCTCAAAGTGGGTTCCCCGTCATCAAAAAAGATTATTTTTAC